GGTCAAAAGCGGCTGGCTGGGAATTTGTTATTTTCTTTCACATGAACTATTCTGAAAAATGTACATTATTGATTTAAATGCACAGAAGAATATTATGGTCATGTGACCTGCGGGGATGAAGATTTGGGGTGGGGGTATCTTCATCCCATATAGATATAGATATAGAGATAGATATAGATATATTTTCCTCCTTTGTCAATAGTAATGTAATCCCTCACTGGCTTCCCACTCACAAACACAGCCAGTCATGTTCACCAGAATATATAAAATATAAATCATATCAAGTACTCTGCAGTGGTGGGATGGTAGTTTAGTTCATGTCTGCTAGTTTATTATAGCATTACTTCAGATACTCAGCACTATCATAGTTGCTAGCTCATCGCATACGGGTAGCTAAATAACCCAGTGTTCAGTTGGCTAAGGGTTATTGTGCCGTGCTGTAAGTTGAATGTGCTGGGTCTTGACAAGCTGGAGCACAGTGCTGTGAAACAGAGCTAAGGACCAGACTGTGTCACAGTAACTTAAAGCTGTATTAATGAGCAGAGCAAGCTGAAGGGCCAATACAGCCCTTCTTCCATATCCAGCAGACACATTGTCACTGGGGTGGAGCTGTGTCCACCCAGCCCTTTCTCTTTTCAAGGTCGCCAAATACCCATGTTTTATCACACCCCTTACAGATGTACAAGGTACCCTTCAGCATCTGGATGAGACACACTGGGATGCCAGAAAGCCTTTAGGAGTCAGGTGATGTAGTGTAAAGAGTGACAGTCAGCGTAGGGAGGAAGTTGGGGTGGATGGATGGGTCAACCCTAACTAAAAAACATAACGTAACTTAACTGACACAACCATTTGTACTTATTTAAACCCAAACAAGCTCCCATGAAGAGCACACTCTTTGAAGCCTCATTGTGAAAGAAGCAGCTATAAAACGATGAATACTTTTTTCTGCGTGTCACAGCTCCCCTGAAATGACCCGCTTGCTCTCAGAATTCGGAATTAACAATTTGGAAAGTCTAGAGACATACGATTAAATCTTTTTTTTTTTTTTCTTTAGTGAAGGGATGAACTTAGGCATTTGTCTGGGTAATTTCTTTACAGCGGGAATATACTTTTTTGGCTTCATGCTCTTTTGAGCAGCAGAGTTGGAAAGATTTCTCTTTGGATTTGTCACTACAGGTGAATCCTTTCACATTACACAGAGTGGACGCAGCTGTACAGGCTGTTGTACGTCAACTTATAGTAATAGTCACTGAACATGACGAATGTTATGTTAAGTGCTTCTAGCAAAGGCATCTGTGATGAGTGAAAATGGCGTAGATGGGATAGATACATCAGTCACTGCTGATTAGAGCGGAACAACCCCCCTCCCAAACAGAGAATGTCCTTGTGGGGAAATTTAATTTTTGGGTATTTTCCTATTTTGCTTTTCTAGTGTACAGGTTTATTTCTTTTTTTCTTTTTTCTGCTAAGAAGAATGTTTTTATCCAAACACTTCATTTTAGTTTTAATTTACAGCAAATCCGTTTGTGTTGTCTGGTGTTAGAGAGACAGAGAGAGGTTGATGGTGTGTACATTTGGTGTGTATGTTAATGTATTCATACATGAGTGAAAGACATTACCCCCCATCTCTCTCTCTCCCTGTTTTACAGTCTCCTCAGTCCTCTCTCGCCCCCTCTGCAGTGCAGTCTTGGTTAAATCCTGGTCTGGATCTGATCTGAGCGCTGGATCAGGATTTAAACCTTAGACCACACATCGGTTGTCTGCCTTTGGTCTCATCTTGCCCTCCTCCTGAACCCCCTGTCTCTTTCATCTCTTCCTCTTTCTCTTCTTCCCTCCATTATTTTTCCTTTATCGATTCATCTTTCTTCTTTTCTCCCTCTGAGTCTCAACTTGGACAGCTGAGGTTTATTCTTCCTTCACCTGTTTTATTTCTCTCACCTCCTCCACCCTCCATTTTATTCCTTGTGTCTCTTTTCTTTCATTAGTCAGAAAATGAGTCACTATGACTGAATTTAGGGCAAAAATTACATGAAGGCCTTGAATGGTCATTCATTATTCATAAATTAGTACTCTTTGTCACTCTGGTCCAGTCCAGCTTCAAACATTAAGTGTGTGTGTGTGTGTGTGGGGGGGGGGGGGTGTATGTTGTCTGCGTAAAGGTCTAATATGTTGTTACTCCTTGAAGGTCAGGACACATACAGAGCATGTATTTGAAGGTGGTATCTATCTATCTATCTATCTATCTATCTATCTATCTATCTATGGAGGTATCAAATAAGTTGTACCCCCTACCTGCTACACATGTAGAACATGTATACCATTATATAAATAAGAATAAAATAAAATAAAACAATACAGTTACTTATATAAAGACATATATGTGTACAGTATGTGCAGTGGCGGAGTTGGGAGGATGAGTTGAGGGAAAAAGCTGTTCTGTATTCTGGCGGTACAGCGGATGCTTCTGTATGTCTTGCCAGACAGCAGATGCTGTCTTTTA